GCAGCTGGGGCTTGCTCAGTCATATAGTGTATGGCATCCTGGTCACCCAGCCAGTCAGATCCTTTCACTGTATCATAGAAATGCCACCTCCAGTTGTCATCTTCCATGTTTCCCAAAGCCGCATTGATCCCTCCCTGAAAGTAAAAACACATTTTCCTGGAATTAAATCTGTGAAGTACAGCTTTATTAGATTTCCCTGGTTTCCGTTAGAATTTCATGTCATTTACGCCTCTACATACAAGTACAGATTTAAAGAGGCTGTGAAAAAAATGCATGCAAGTTATCATTTTTGCAATGGCTCTTTATCGTAGAAAGGCCTGGGTTGAAAAGAACTTCAAAGATCATTCAGTTTCAACCCCCCTCCCATGGGCAGGGTTGCCTACCACTAGACCAGGCAGCCCAGAGCCACATTTATTTTGCTCTGTTTAGAGGAACAAAACAAACTGCAAAGCTACATGGAAGGCAACAAAAAAAAGAACTAAATAGAAGCTACATGTATAAATTTAATTGAAATTATTTTGGAGAGAGAGGCCACAGTGATATGCAATGCTCCTGTGCACATCCCTATCACCTTTCTTACAGTAGGTATCTCTAAGCATATGTTCCACCTCATTTCTCACCTGCGCAGCAACAGTATGAGACCTGGTGGGAAACAGCTTTGTAACACACGCTGTATTAAACCCAGCCTCAGATAAACCAAATGCAGCCCGCAGGCCTGCTCCTCCTGCACCCACAACAACTGCATCAAACTCATGGTCCACAACTGGATATTGCGTAGAAATCTGGAAAAAAAATAATAATGTGTTTATTATCAAAAGTATTTCAAGCTAATTTGAAGTTATTCATACATATGCAATGTATTTCAGCAACTCAATCTCACTATGTACTTGAGCACGCCACCAACACAAGCACTGGACGCAACACAGCAAGCTGTTTTCTTCTGTGTCTCTGATACATTAGGTGTTAACTACTCTGTTACTTGAGACAAGAGAGAAGCATGAACCTACCGAATCAGAAACTTTGGCAGAAGCACTTCTCTTTCCATCGACCGTGAAGTGAAAGTTGCGTGCAAGAGTCTGGCATGCTGCTGGCCACTGCAGAAAAAAAAAATATCAAGACAACTATTATGAAACAAATCTTTTCATGAGGAAGAATTTCAGCATACCCAACTATTCAGTGTTACAGTAACCATTTATTCATCACTGATTTAAGAATCATAGAACCATCATTGAACAGTTTGGGTTGGAAGGGACCTTAAAGCCCACACAGGTCCAAGTCCACGGCCCTTGCCACCCACAAGATCGGGCTGTGCACTGTATCAATGTATTTCAGAATAAATGCAATGAAGTTTGGGCTCTCTTACACTCATGAAAGCATTCAAAGTTTTGAACAGATGAAAGACCAACCTGCAAATAAAAGGATGTAACTATCAGATCACTAACCAGTCTCTCAGACCTACCTGTGGCTGCAGTGATAAAAGTCAACATGGTATATTATTCCAATTTTCTCTTATGTAAGCAAAGATGAAGACAGCTTTATGACAATCACACAAATTACTGTAAAATACTTCTCAACAAACAACACTGAGAATTTGAATTATTTCAGGTGCTTAAAAGTAATGAGTTTAAATGAACAGTGGTGGGGAAGGCTGTTCCTGATTATCATTGCTTCAAAAGCCAAGTCAGTTCTTTTTGTTTGCATTCTCTACAATCAGTGACTGATTTAGAAGAATTTGTTCATATCTGAATGAAGCACAGAGGCACTTACCCCTTCCTGTAATGTTATTCCCTCTTTCCTACCACATTCAAAACCAGCAAAACAAAGACAACAACCAAACCTAATACCTCAATCCACCCAGTATCCACTTTTGCTTTAATAAGTTAAAGGAATCAGAGTTTTTAGTGCTCACAGTATAGATCACCAATTTATTAGCATCTACTATTCCTACCATACATTGTTAAAAAAAATGTATCTAACTGAGCACATATGTTTGATTAGAACAGCAACACAGTAATAACAGTGATTGGTAACACAATATCAGCACTTCTCTATTTGAGGCATCACCCTGGAGCATTTTTAACTGACTTTTCCCAGCAATTGTTACAGCCATGGCCTAATCACCTGGCAGTTGCAAACCCTAAGAAGCAGGTCCTGCTTCTCCATCACTTCCCAGTGACCACTTTCTAAGTAAAGTACATTAGCCTTTAGTTGACCCAGCTTTATCATCTCTTTTTCTGTTCCTTCAAATGATCTTGCGCAACGCTGAATCTGATGCGTCATCAAACTTGCTGACACACTTCTGTTTTTGTTTTTTTTTTTTTTTATAGCCAAGGGAATTAGGTTCTTACCTAATTAAACAAGATTAGTATTAACAGCTATTACTAATTAATTCTATTTGCACTTCCTAAAGAAATGACTCTTCCGCTTCTACCTTGCTCTGTTACCACACTCTGGGACAATTCCATACCCGTCTGACTTTCCACATTAAGTCATCTTCATTAACATTGCAGATACAGAAACAGATTATGTGATTGACTGGCAACCAAATGAAACTGAAGTAGCAGAAGTTATTTATCTGCAGAACAGTTCACCCACCAATGTCACACCAAGTTAAAACTGGATGCCCTCACCATACAGAAAGTACTTCAAAGGCCTAAGATCAACCAAAGTAAGACAAGCAGAAGTAATTGCCATGATGGGCTGCATGCTTTAAACGTGGCAGCCATGCATTTTATAGCACGCCCTATTACTATTGCTCATCTCCAAAATGTTGTTCTGACAACAGCACAGCTCCAATTACTACAATAATTGATTTCTTTTAGGTAAAGAATACTCCAAAAACAAAAACAAAAAAAAAGAGGCACTGGAATCAGCTGCCCTGGGAGCTGGTTGAGTTACCATCCTCAGAGGTGTTCAAGAAACACACAGATGTGGTCTTAAGGAATGTTATTTAGTGGGCAATATTGGTGGTAGGTGGATGGTTGGACAAGATAATCTTAGAGGTCTTTTCGAACTTTAATAATTCTACGGTTCTGTTTGTTGTACAAAGCAATTCAAAAGAAGATCTTTGCTGCATATAAAGATAGCACACAAGAAGTAGATTTGCACATACTTACAGTTGCTTAAAGAAACCATAAGTGACAGGGAAGAAAAAAAAATAGCTGTGAACAGTCTTTATGCCCTGAAGCATAAAAAGATATTGACCCATATTTTCTCCCTCAAAAATGGGAGTCATTTCTGAAGGCTTTCAGCCATGCCTTAAAAATAATTTCTTGTTCAAAAAAATCTGTTTTCTGAAGTGGCTATACCACACTTCCATAGTCCTGGGGCTGTTAACTTTGGGAGTATGATTTTCCATCTGGAAACATTAAAAAAAGCAAAAAGAAAAACCACACATGTCTAGCGGACTCCTTCTCACATCTTAACTTCTGTTAAAACAAAAGCTTTCAGAACTGCTATTCCTATTCACACACACTATTTTGTTAAATCTACACAGATGCTGCTATTAAGCTTTTCTCAAAGTGAAGAACAGAACTCCAGAAAAAAAAAAAAAAAGTACCAAATTTAAAGAACATATTGATCATATTAACCCTGAGCTGTTTATGCTACCAGGTACACTGTGAGCCTTAGGGGAAGAAAAAAAAAAAAAAAAAAAAAATCAAAGGTCCAATCAGAGCTATTTCACTGGCATTCAGAATGTAAATATACTCTTTAAGCCTCTTTCTCCAATTAGAAGTCTCTCTCCTGCACATGTCATTAAGGTTAGAAAAGACCACTCAGCTCATCTAGTCTGACTGCCAACCCATCCTCACCATGCCCACTAAGCATGTCCCCCAGTGCTACATCCACACATTTCCTGAATATCTCCAAGGACAGTGACTCCACCACCTCCCCGGGCAGCCTGTGACACTGCCTCACCACTCTGAGAAGAAACTTCAAATACCCAAACTGAACCTCTCCTGGTACAACTTGAGGCCATTATCCCTCATCTGACTGTTGCTACCTGAGAGAAGAGGCCAACTGCCACCTTACAAGATGGGGTCAACTATAGGTGTGCTGTGAGCGTTCCTTCCCTGTGCCTCTTCTATCATCACAAGGTTCCCACAGAAACAAGAACAAACAGAAAGCTCCCATTTCTCAAGATAAAAAACAAGCTGTTGGATCTTCATGATCTTCACAGGTCCCTTCCAACCGTTCTATTCTCAGCCTTCACTGATGATCCTTACAGATGAGCTGAAGTAAAGCTGTCAGATGTTTGAGACACACTGCCTGCACAGCCAAGCTCCAGTAACATGGATTCTGTCCAGCTTTCCACGAAGAGCTCATAGGAGTGCGCAGCACGGTTTCTACCCAGAGGCCAGGGCAGAAGGCACTTAGATCAGCCAGCTTGCTGCAGGGAACAGACCTTCGCAGCACACCCTTCAACCGCAGCCGCGCCCGCAGGCTCCCAGCCAGAAGCAGCAACGGGGCCGCGCTGAGCAGCCCCCGAAGGCGCAGGGCCTCGCTCCAAAATAAAGAACTGCAGACAGAGCCCCCAGCCCGGGGAGAGCCCGCGGCCCCGGCTCTCGGCCTCGTCCCGCGCCCCGGAGCCGGTTCCCCCGCCAAGGTCACCGTGGGGACGCGGCACAGGGGACGCCCCGCGCGCGGCGGGACGGGGCCGGGCGCGCTGCTCCGGCAGCGGCAGCACACGCAGCGCCCCGTGCCCGCAGTGCCCGGGCCCCGCCCGAGGGGATCTTCGCGCCAGCCCCGAGGCCGGAGGCTTCCCGCTCAGCCGGGCCGCCTGCGGGAAAAGGAAAGAAAGAGAAGGAAGATCGGAGTCAGTCGAGCCCGGCAGGGTGAGGTCGCCACTTACCGCCCGCGCCGCCGGCCGCAGCCAGCACTTAGCCAGGCTGCGCGACGCCCCCACCACCGCCGCCGCCATTTCGCGCAGCGCCGGAGGAGCCCGCAGCGCGCATGCGCAAGGCCGCCGCTACCGGCGCCGTTGCTCTGGAGGCCCTGGCGGGACAGACCAACCGGCGGACCAGGGTGTGCCTGGGCGGCCTTACCTTCAGACCGTCCCCTCACATCAACACCCCCCGTTTCTCTACACTAATGGGCCGGCCCGGCAGGGGCGGGACGGGCAGTAAGTGACACCGGCGGCGGCCCCGGGCCGGTACGTGGTGACCCTGTGAGGCTCCGGCTCTGCGGTCGTCTGCCTGATCGTGCCCGCCGGCAGCGCGGAGGCCTCAGGGGTGCTGGCGGCGTGCGCTGTTCCCGCAGCCGGCCGTGGCAGGGCCAGGCGGGGACAGAGGTGGCCGGTGAGGCCTGAGGGGCTGGCAGCGCCGTTCCCCGTGTGTGGGACGGCGTGCGTGAGGGTTTCGTTCCTCTGGAAGCGGTCTGGTGTGACTCAGGGTGTGGGGCGGAAATAGCTGGCCGCGAATCACCGCTGGCGGTGGCCGTGGGAGCTGTCGGTGTCCCTGGGCGTAGCGCTAACGTGGTGTTTCTCTCCTGTTCACCCAGGGTGTCTTCATGAATAACTTAAATGATCCTCCCAACTGGAACATCCTGCCGCATCACAGAGAGCCCAGGGATGAAGGCAGCAGGTGGAATTATGCCTTGCTGGTCCCCATGCTGGGTTTGGCTGCCTTCCGTAAGTAGCACAAATCCGCCCTACTGGGGCGTTGTTGCGTTTGGGCGTCTGACCGCAGTGAAAGCTCTGAACGGGAGCGAATCTCAGCAACAAAGCAGTGCCCCAGCTGGGGACTTCTGCTCTGTTCGCTGTCCCCGGAACCTGCCCGTGTTTGGGAATGTCACTGTAACAGCGCTTATAACATTGGGGCAGTGGCCGTTTTTGACGCATGGAGTTCAATCACTTTTAATAAACTTCAGAAAGATCTCTCATAACTAATATGTTAGAGAGCCCCAGCATAACAACCCCAGAGAGGTCATGATGTATATCTGCTTACTGGACCTGAAAATTTCTCAGTGCAGTTTATGCATGAAAAACTTCCATCCTGTTTACCAATAATTCCTTTTTCCTTCTCAAGTAAGTATATGTACTTGGAAAAAAAGAAGGCTAATGGATATGTTCAAACAAAACATGATCCTTGAAAGAGACCTGCTGTGAAATGTGGACCTACAGAAATACATTTTGTGGGATATGTGAACATAAGTGAATATCATAGAACCATATAATAAATAAATAAATAGTGAGGGAACTCAGAGATCAATTAGATCTAACCCCTCTGACGCAGGCAGAGTTGACAACCACTGAATTGTGCACTAGATCAGGTTGCCCAGGGTCCCATCCATCCTGGCCTTGAACTCCTGCAGGGATGGGACATCCACAGCTACCTGGGGAGCCTGTTCCTTACTTCACCACCCTCTCTGTAAAAAATACTCCCTTGACATCTAATCTGAATCTCCCCTCTTTTAGTTTTAAACCCATTCCCTCCTGTCCTATCAATATCTACCCATGCAAAAACTTGATTGCCCTTATGCTTGTAAACTCCATTTACATATTGGAAGACTACTGTCACATTTCTCTTGAGCCTTCATCAAGCTGAACAAGCCCAGCTCCCTCAGCCTGTATTCATAGTAGAGGTGCTCCAGCCCTCTGATCATTTATGTGGCCTCTTCTGGACCTGCTCCAGTAGCTTCACATCTTTCCTGAGCTGGGAGCCCCAGATTTGGAAGCAGTATTACAAGTGGGCCCTCACAAGGACAAAGCAGAGAGGAACAATCACTTCCATCACCCTGCTGGCCACTCCTCAGTGTTGCCAAATGGAGCGGGAGGGGGGAGGAAGGAATGTTTTTACCATTGAAACCTAAAGAGGTTTCTTTAGGGGCAAAATTAATTATCCATACCCATCAGTGCTGATCATTGTAGTCTCGTTTATGTGTTTTAGGCTGGATCTGGACCAGAGAATGTCAGAAAGAAATAGAAAGAGAAAAAAGAGAATATTATAAAAAGCAGTCGTCTTTACAGAAAGGCCTGGAAGCCAAATACCGGGATATAATCACAGAAAATCGTCGTGCAGTTGCACATTTGGAGCTGGAGCTTGAAAAGGAACGCAATAGGACCCTGAGTTACCGTGAAGCCCTCGTGTCCCAGAGTCGCAAACTAGTGGAAGAAAGAAGGATCCTAGAGCAGGAGCAAGAGAAGTTAGAGAGAGAAAAAGAAGTTCTTTTGCACTCGGGAGCAGCAGGAACCTTGTACCAAAGCTGTCTGGCAAAGGAAGAGGAGTGGCAGAAGAGAGCCAACACTTTACTAAAAGAATTTGAAGATGGGCTTAAAGAAAGACAGGAAATCTACTGCAGTTTTGTAGTCCCTAAAAGCCAGAGACTAGAAATAGAGAAAAATCTACTAGTTAAAGCAGCAACTGATCCGGTTGCTATGGCTTTACATATGGAAAGTGGCTTAAAAGATATTTTCAAACATGATAACTATTGTGGAAATCTGATGAACAAAAGCAGAAGTCAGAACGGAAGGCTGATGTGGCTGTATTTGAGATATTGGGAACTAGCTATTGAATTACAGAAGTTCAAAAGGGTAGAAAATGTAATGTTAGGAAAACGCTAGGGGAAATAATGGTGATTTATACAATCTACTATGAAGATGAGGGACAACCACAGCTGTAGTCTGAAGCTGATAAGTTCTCTTTCTGCATTGCAGTTTCTGCTCTTCGTTGCATTTGTATCTGCATGGGATGTGCAGTGTTGTTTAACAATAGATGCTCCAGTGAGCTGTGCATGCTCTAAAACTGTGTTTGTGTATCTCTGTGTTACACTGCAGTCTGCAGTACAAGCTTCAGTAGGTCTCAGAAGCAGCAAAAGAATTTGATTTAGAGTAATTTACCCAGGTCATAGTCCATCAACAAAGAAGTGGAATTTTTCTTCCTTAAGTAGATGATAATGTCATGCTCCTTATTCCTGATGTTCTGCACAGTGTCTCAACACTATCTTTCACTTTTCAGCAGACTTTGGAAGAAGCCATAATTGAGTAAGGTGCCTGTCACATAATGAGTGTGCATATGTACATACATTTATAAAAATATGTATGTATGTTTGTGTATATAAGAAAGGAATAGTATAATTATGTTTCATATTAACCAGTCTTGCATTGTCTTCCAGACTTAAAACACAAACAGGACTTCATGAACATCCAAAAGATGGCAATTAGAATAACATGTAAAGAAATGATTAAAGTCACATTGGAGTTGGGGAGACATGCTTGAACATTAAATAGTATGTAGACTTGCAGTTATATTCTCACCGTACATTATTCACATTAAGAATACTTATGTTTTTTCTTTTCCTCAAAGTTTTAGTTGTAACTCAGCAGTGTGTCTCCATTATAGACATTGCTCTGCTGCTGCCTCTGCATCCCAGTGCACTTGGTACATTTTTAGCTTTCAGGAACCATGATAGTCATTGCACCTGGCTGTACTTCTTGTACAAGTGTTCCCAGTTAGGAGTCTAAATGCAGCCATGCACTGGTAGCCACCCATTCCCTTCCTGACTGTCTCTGTGCTCCCAGACCTGAAGTGCACTGTTCCACAGCTCTTAAATTTTGAGCTTACAGGTAACCCTTCATGTCCACATGGCTGTGAAAGCCTACAGATGTACAAACCTTGTAAAGATTTAAAAAGAAGGCATTTTACTTTTATTATCACAATACACAGATCTAGATTAAAAAAATAAAACATTACATTTCCATGCTTGAAATCCCTTAAAGCTTTGTTCTTTAGCCAATGGAGAAAACTGGAACCACCTTCATTTTCAAAAGTGCCAGGTATGTTATAGTGTACCTCTTTTTCTTTCTCCTTTCTAATCCAGCCTGAGAGCCCAAATAGGAAGTGTTTACCTTTTTGTATAATGCCGATCTTCTTTGTTACTTGCCTTTACTTGCCTTCAATTAGCGTTAAGTTGTTGGTTCTTTAGCATTTCTTTATTAACTGCCAAACGTTTGCTCTAGGCAATTAGCTGTCACATAGCCCAAAACCAGTCCAGCTCAGTGAATACCCATCCAAATTTAACAGAGACCTCCAGCAGATGCAGTTTTCTCTTACTACTGCCTCTCAGTTGCATTTTAGTCAGGAACAAAGGACAGAAGATAAATCTTCTGAAGTAATGTATACAACCTAATTCAGTTTCTCAGCAAAAATAACATGGAACAAAATTCTTAAACACGTTTGTTTCCCAAGTACTCTATTTTCCATCTGTCTTTTTGCTCACTGTTGTGGTGTTACTCATTTTGTTGTACTAATTTGTTAGCTTCTTATGGGCTGTTCTTTTTTATTTTATTTTTAAATAAAGTTTAAATGATTAATCATGGGGAAAAAATACATACAATCACAGTCACCAGAAAGGCCAGAGGTTATCTGGATGCCAAGCTTATGCAGGTTCCACCATGAAAATGTGAGTTAGTACTTTTGCGTAGCTGTTGTAGCTGACCACATGTGAATGCCCTAAGTGCCCAGTAGAACAGATCTGATTAAACAACTTATCTTGTGTATAATTCCTTCAGGATGTGTAAAGTGTGACCACACAGCAGTCGTGTTTCATGTGTACATCCAAGCAGTTACAGCAACACAGCTAGCAAACAGTAGACAGTGAATTGATGCCATACATTCAAGCCTCATATCTTGACTTTGTACATCTTCACTAGTTTTAAATATTAAAAGTTGAGATGCTATGCTTTTTTCAGTTTTTTCACAGTTCATGTCCTTGACATCAACTCAAAATTAAAAAATGAAATCAAGAGGGTAAAATACTTTTTTTCATTTCAGTATAAATGAATGAAAGGAAACTTCATATGTTTGATCTTCAACCATGTGATGTTGGATATTCACTCTCACTTCTTTGGAAGTTATCAGCTATTTCTACAACTAAGTGGGGAACTGCTGTTCGCGGATACTTTACAGATCAGTGTATTAAGATCAAGGAGTTTATTTCAGGAACATTTTTCCATGTGTGTAACTAGTTTAGAAGCATCAGTCATGTTTCTTAGTTTGTTGTGGTTTTTTTTTTTTGAAACATTCCCCTGTTGTAAACTGTTATTTTGAGAGATCTATTGTGAACTGTCGCTCAGCAACTATTGTTCTGGATTAGCTATTTGTTTGAAAATGCCCATTACATATATGTAGAATGAAAGAAGAATTTGTTTTCAAATATTTAATGAAGGGTGTTGTTTTTTATTTTTATTTTATGAAAATACCATTCATGTTAAACAAGCAAACAAGGATAAACAAATAAAAGAAATGCTTACACCTTTCTTCACTGTTTTATTACTTGGGTGAGGTAGGTGGGAAGAGAGGATTTTGCTATTTTATGTCAACTTTCTAACACTTCACAATCTTAAGGCTGTGTAAATGCAGAAAGCTTTCTGCAGGTGTGTGAAGTGATTACAGATGACCACCACACTGTGTGAAAATGAACAGATGCTGTCTAGATGTTTAGATACATTGCCTAACACCTGGTGTGAAGGATCTAGTGCACTACTAGGGATTTCCTTGAGCAGTTCATGGGGGAAGATCAAGGAAATTGAGCAAACCATGCATTATTCTAAATTGTCGATAGAAACTGTTCCAGCCTATGATAGACATAGGACTGCCTTTTGTTCATAGTTGTGTTTAATATGTAAGATGTGATGCCTATGTACTTTAAGATAACATAACTGATGTGCAGGCACTGTAGCATGACATAGGTCCACATGCCAATTGGATTGCAAGTATTCACCAGAACAGATCTGGGGAGTCTTAGTCCATCTAGCTGAAGACACCATTGCAGGGATGTTTGCAACATCAGTATGCACACAGCAAGCCTGGTCTAGAAATCAATTTCCCCCATGAGCATTACTTTGCAAAGAAAAGCATTACTTATAAGTACCCCAGAAGTGCTAGCTACTGTAATGGATAGTAATGGGAGCTGTCAATCACCTGAAAGCAAATGCTGCCTCTAAAAACTGAACCTGAGGAAGAGACTGAGGAGTGCAGAGAGACCACGAGATGCACTGTGGTTGCAACTCATTGTCACACACCCTGAACAGCTCATGCTCTGGGCTGATTCCACCAGAACTGGCCAACTGCTGCAAAACCTCTCCTTTCCCCCATCTTACAAGTACTCCTGCAGGTTTGTTTTTCCTAGACGCCTGACTTCTGAACAGGATTTACACAGCACAAACAAAATCCTCAGCTAAAGCAGTTGGTGCTTCATGTTATTAAGTGCTGACCCCCTCACGTGGCTAATCACACTTCTTGTCAGCAGCCTGAGCTGCAACCTCCTGTTTTTATAAACTCTCACTTTGTGGGCAGATCTTTCTGCTCCAGGTGCACTTGGAGCACAATAATAAGAAAGATAAGAAGCAATGTGGTTTTTGTTGACCAAGACAGAATGAATTTTTCTACACCAAACCAGGTTTTATCACAGACCTTTGTGTAAAGATGACAGCAGCATCCTAGTATCTCATTGCATACCACAGCACCGGCATCACTAAAGTTTCCTGAATGGGCTGCCTGTGGAAATCATCATTAACATAATTAACACAATTAACATAACACCCTACCTCTGTTATGTTCCCAACAGCCTGAAACGCAGTTTCAGTGAGCAATCTGATGTTTCTCCTCTGTGGTTATACAAAATTACTTCTCTTCCATCCAGAAAAGTTTACAAATGCATTAGAAGAGATTTAGTCTCCAAAACATATTGAATTTCTCCAAAACCTTCAAGGTATCCCTGTGTGAACTTCTGTAGTACTGATGATGGCAGTGTGTGTGAGCACACACACAGGAATTCAGCCCTGACAGCTGAGGAGCTGTGCTTTTGTCTGCTTACCACCTAGAGTTGGAGAACAACAGAGCATAAAACTTAGACCAAGTTAAAGATCTACAGAATATCTCTTGGTGTGGCAAACTCTATAACTACCTGCTGTTGAATATTACCCCTAAAACTAAGCGACTGAAACATTTTGCCTGTGTATCTTGTGTTCTGATGGGATTGTTACAGTCCCTTATGCTCAGGATTTTGAGTATCCTCAACTTGGGGATCAGTGCTCCATCTATGTACATCTGGTGAAGGATTTTGCCCCCTGTTAGCTCACAAAAGTATTCCTTAATTTCTCTGAATATTTTTTACAGAAGGTCCAGACTTTGCCAGGGACAGACTGTCAGAGAGCATTTTGTTTAACTTCCAAATGTTCTTCATCACTTGCATCTTCTCCATCTCACTCTTTCAAATAAGAATTCTATGCCCTAGGCATCCTGCAGTACAGTTACCTCTCTCTTTATATCTCTGTCTTTTCCTGTTTGAGGCTCACCACACAACCTCTGCTTTGCACAATCTTCCACTTTATTACCCTCAATATCTGAGTCAGGTTTTATTTTTGCCCCAGGTGATGGCAGCAGAAAGAGAAGGAGGAGCAGATGCTAAGCCACCATGCCTTGGCTCTCATTTTGGATACTTGCCACCACAGGAATATCTAGATGTGGAAGAAAGCTCTTCATAAATGATGTTTCTCCATCTTGAAGGTTTCTGTGCAGGAGGAGTAAGTATTGTGTTGTTTTGAAGGGAAGATGGTGAACATGCACAAGCATGTTCAAAGGAGATGAGACAGTATCAGTAGGGTCTTGGGAGAAATTGTACTGCTGGCAATCTCTTTCCTAAGACCTGCCAAGGATATCTTCTAGAAACTTCCCATCTGTTCATGAATTGGGGCACTTTGAAAGAGAGAAGGAAAACATATTGCTAACAGTGGATACCTACA